TCTCCGGGAGCAGAGGAGGCGCGATTATAATCGCTCCATACGGCAACCCTGGTCAAACGGTGTCCAAGATGGAGGAGACCGCCGTATACACGCCTCCGCGTCCTCTTTTTTCGTTAAGATCTTTATAGGAGACCTTTGGTTGCATTCATCTAGAGTTCCTTACATGTGAGAGTGTTGTGTTAAGTCATGGCTGCGTTCCATCTTATGTAGATGGTGGCAGCGTTTCTCCGCGTAGTTTCTCTCTGTGCCTCTGTGCCTCCCTGGCTCTCTCGTGTTCTTCTTTTTTCAGCATTACTGCTTCACAGAATGCTTTGAAGGCTTCCCATTTTCCAGGTGTGTGAAGGATAGCCTCTATGGTTCCTTCTAAGCTGGATAGCCGGCCTGTTATCTCGTATAACCTCTTTCTTTCCTCCGACCATGCCGGGCAGATGAAAGCGGTATGTATGTTGTCGTCCTTAACCGCGTTGCAGTGGTGGCATTTAGGCAATGGTTCTTTTTTTATTCTGCACAGGTAATCTCCAAAACAACCGTGCCCGGAGATTATCTGTGCCATCCTGTAGGAAAGGTTTCCGTAGGAACGGGTTACCCATCTGTCAAAGCAGGGCAGGATTACCTTGACTACTTTTTGGTTTCGGTTGTTCGATAGCTGTAGTTTTTCGTGCCAGGTAAGTATTGTTTCCAGAAGTCTTTCTTTTTTTAATCTGGCTTTCTCTTTCTCCATATTCACGACTTCTGATGACTTCAACGAGCGAGTGAGACCATAATATTTGTCGTATACTCTGATGAGCGTTTCTATGGGAGGGGTGCTTGCTAGGAGGAATATCGCTGAGGTAGCTATTCTTTTGTATCCTCTTATCACCCTCAGTGCCATTTCTTTTTGTTCATTTGTTAGTTGTTTCATCAGATTTTTATTTTTCAGGACTTTTTTGGCCCAGATGTGACAACCGTACAAAGCCATCGAGTTGAAGGAGTTAGTGTATAACCTTCTCACTTCCTCTCAAGGGCCACCCAGGTTTGGTAGAATGTTCGAGAGAACGTTGACGTATTCTCTTAATCTCGGGATTAGATTGTCGATGTGCTGGTTGAATGTCATTCTTTCGTCCAGAATCACCCCTAAGTAACGCATTTCGGCTTTCATTGGTATGCATATACCATTTATCGTCATCTTTTTTACTTCTTCATCGATCTTCATGTTTCTGGGATAGAAACATGTGATCGTTGTCTTATTCGTTGCCACTTTAAGTCCTATCTTTTCGATTCTTTTTAGGAC